CACCTACTGTGAGTCATAGACTCTGACAGTGAAGCAGGTCTGTTGGGTTCATTGCCTGGTAGCTGAGGGTTGACGATATATTTTGCTCCTCGGGGAACATGTACACAAATATTCTAATGAGATTAGCTGTCAATCACCAGCGGCCCCTGTTCCACATAACTATGTATGTTTGTGGTAAAGACCCTGTCTGTGTGTGTGTGTGTGTGTGTTTGCTCGCTCGCTTCAGTAAAAGTGAGCTGCCTCGCCTGCAGGGATCCACACATTGGAAGGGAAAACAAAACAAATTTTACATATTTTCATTTAAATACAAAAAATCAAATTGATGTTTTTTACCCAACGTCATCTTTAAAAACACTAATAAAATAAATCAAAGCCATCTCTAGTTGTGGCACAAAGGAAAGTTACACCAATTTTCCGGCCAGACTTGACGTGTTTATAGGAATGCTGTTATTATGATTGATTGTGCTTTTACGCTGTACTTATGGTTGTTCATTTGCTTTACTGAGAGCTCACATCTCTAAGGCGCCTGTGAGTGCTGCTACACTGAAGCCATTGATTTTGGCTTTTGGGATCAGCAGTTAGAGAGAGCTTGACTCGAACATCTGTTGAAAAACAAAAAGGCTTCCAGCAAACTGGGACACCGAGAACAGAAGAAATATGACCTCAATGTTAGTCATTGAGAGTAAAAGGAATAAACGCAGGAAGTGGAGTTTTACAATGAAAAATTAAACGGAAAATCAGAATGGAGTTTTTCAATTTTTTTCAAATTGTTTTTTTTTAGAAAAGGCCATTGAATCCAAAGAACAATTATTCTATAATAAGTCTTCATCCACACTAAAGGTGCAATGCAAAGTGTTATACTTTTAATAAAATTGACAAAACTGTGGTAATTAATTCCTAATTGGTTTTTATGTCAATCAAACAGAGATCTGTTATTATTTAAACCACTATTTTTATCATTATTCATTTTTCATATTAGCTTAGCATAAAAATCAAACAAGAGCCCATGACAAATTTGACTTCATATCTTAGCCATGCTAATGCTAATGTTTCATAATTTGTCCACATTAATCCAGCTTCTGCCTTCGTACAATCTGCTGTTTATTCTACGATACCTGACCCCACTCACTCTGATTGGTTCCTCCAGTGTTTACGATGAAGCAGCGTTGATTAGTTTTAGTCACGGTCAGATTCATCATGTAGTCGCACACAACTTCCTACTTAGTTATGTTTAGTTTACGTCTTAGTAAAGTCTTTGACAAAATTCAAATGAATTCAATGCCAGGAAGACTCTGATGTTCAGTCATTCAAATGAATTAAATGCCAGGAAGACTCCGATGTTCAGTCAAAGTCAGAGTTCAGTCACAAAAGTCTGTATTTGTTCATTTTCCTGTCAATGACTAAAACAAGGAACAGGAAAAACCATCACCATTCACATGTGGATTCAGATTGTACTCGCCCTTTTAATAGTATGAGGAATAAAGAGCCTCTGTTGAAGTACTGCACTACTGTAGTAGTACTGCACTACTGTAGTAGTACTGCACTACTGTAGTCATAGAAACATCTGTGTGTGCTGTAAATTATGACCAAACACATGCAGACAAAGGAATTCGTAATTATGTGTATGAGCCGAGAGTGCATGCTGCGATAACATATACACACAGTTATACACACACACACACACATGCAGTCGGAGCAGACTAACAGAGCCTGACCTTGCAGCACCTACAGGACGCTCTGAGCTACGATCACGTGCCTGTTCTTCTTCTTCTTCTTCTTCTTCTTCTTCCTTCTCACATCTGTTTCTCAAAGTATTTGTCAGAAACAAAAACTTGTTTAGAAAACTCTCTGTTTTCCGACTATACAGTGATCTGAAGTTCCACAGTTGATAAATAGGACTCCTCACCTAATAAGCACATTCTTCTCTCCTCATTCACTAATGCATCCACGGCACCAACCACACTTCTCTCTCCTTCACACTTTCCCTGCCCATTTGGCAGCCGGCCAGTTTCCAAACATGACGATGGAGCAAAAGGAAATTGATTTCTAAAGAGCTCTGTGTGCCGCGCTCGGATATGAAAACTGCAGCCAGTTATTAGGGCTACCCTTGATATGAACGTAACCTGACAACCGTGTCCAGATATAAATCAAAGATGTCTCTCTTTCACACTTTTTAAAGAGACGAGTGGAAGAATGCGACGTACCAGACTCGCAGCTATTCCCGTCACGGCAAATCATTATTACCACTGTACAAATGTGACGATTGTGCTCGGCTCAAAGGAGGAACAGAGGAGCTGAGAGCTCCTTGGACGAGGTTGGCACTGTGAGATGTTGCTGACAGAGACAGAGTCAATATGTCGATGGTGCAGACAGGCACAGCAGGCGTTTTCTTTTTAGTTATTATGCCACTATTAATGAGCGCAAACACGGGAAGGTCACGGGGGCCTCACACAACATGGACCCTGGCGTACACGCTGACACGGATGCTGA